GGCATTTTAAAAGGCATTAAAGCCTGATGATGTCATTAGGTTACTTTACAGAAAACTGCTTTACAGAAAGAGGGAAAAGAAGGAAAGACGAGATGAGATGGACAAGTCGATAAAAACATGGACACAAACTGCATAAGCCAAAAAAATATAGAATTATCATGTGAAGTTATAAGAACACTTGAGAAGTCGAACATTTAAAGGAATTTAGTTTTACATGTCTTATTGATTCAGCAGACTATATGATACTTACCCAATATACCATGTTTTTATGGCTGAATTGTTAAATCACATTCAAATGTTCTGGAAATTTTGTGCATTATTTTATACAATATTCCCCCACAATGCAGTGTAATATTAAGTATATTTTGAAACGACGGGATCTGCACTAGAATTAGAAAACAAAGTTCTGGCGTTTGAAAAATCGTGGCCATACAACACATCGACCTGATGAAGGTCTCTGGTTTTGGGTTTGAAGGATTCTCTCACATGCAACATATACAAAGTAGGCTACCACGCAGCTTTTAAATAACGTTACAGACTCAAACGTGTAGGTCTCTGCTCAGCAATAAAAAATATTTTCTCTCTGTCAGCTTAAAGATAATGTTTGTCTTTGTTTTGTCTTTAGAGTATATGCAGTGAAAAGACCACCACTGGGTTCAAATCATTTTATAGTGTACACCAAGTGATCAGAAAAAACTAAAACCTCCTGTGTGATGTTTCATACAATAACCCTGCAATAAATACACAACAGAATAAAATTCTATGTTTTAATTTTTCTGTTTCAGCTGTTTGCATGTCGACTCAGTTCTGTGGTATGTTATGAAGATCTGCTTTGTGATGTGGAAAAGTCAAACTGACCTGCATTTTACTGAAGGGTTTTTTTTTACAGTATTGCGTCCAGCATGTCAGAGTATTATCTCCATCTATTACATATACAGCAAGGAAGGACAAAAATATGAGATACACCTTTTTAAAGATGCATTTCAGTGCAAGAACAGAGTAAACCACAGCCTCCAAATGACCGCAGAATTGGATCAGTACTTGACAACTGAGTTTAATCGTCAGAGTTGTATTTATTACTATTGTGGACTAAAGTGGACAGTGGTTTCCATTTTTCCAGTCTGATAAGTCCTGTAGAGATCAGTTTCAACTGATTCTCTCTGACTGTAACAACTCTTTCCTTCCTTCATGTAGTTTAAGTTACCACTTTAATCCCCATCATAACGTACATTTTAATCCTCTGTATTTGACCCATCCCTCACTATTTTAGGAGCTGTGGGCTATCACAGCGCCACGTCCGGGGACCAACTCCAGTTCCGAGGCCAGCTCCTCGGTCAAGGGCAGTAGCAGGATTAATCCTAAAAGCTCTGCTGCATGTCTTGGAGCGTGGGAGGAAAGCGGAGCACCCAGAGGAAATCCACGCAAACATGGGGAGAGCATTCAAACTGCATTTAGGAAGCGGCTCCAGGGTCCAAACCTCGGCCCTCCTTGCCCTGAGGTGACAGCTCCTTACAGTAATGTAAGATTTAAGTTCAAACTGTGTGTGGTGGAAACTGAAGCACTAAGTGTCATTTCCTTCATATTTGTTAGCAAACATGCATTTCATCATTGTACAAAAACATTTTGCAATATGCCCCGCAGATTTGTTCCTTTTTTTTGTGTGTGTGTGTGTTTGTAAGCACTTTGCTCGTGTTCCTGTTCATGGAGGCATGTCGGGAGAGAGTTGTGCCGAGCCAGTCAGCACAAAGCAGTGAGCTGTGAGGGAACTGACGGGTCGTTAGGGGCTGGTCATTAAGGCTGATCATTAGATGCTTTTATGGTGAATTACCCGGTTTCACTAAGATTTCTGCAAAAAGCGGGAAACACTGAGGCTCTTCGGGCCCCCAGCAGGCAGACCTCACTCTTGCATTGGTCGTTACTCCTAATCAATAATCATGATCAGTGCTTTTGATGGATGGGGCTTAACCTCCACTTGATGACTGGAGGAGTGTGAGTCAGGAGGAGGAGGGGGAACTGGGTGCTGAGGCAAGGAGGACAGGCGTGAAATGAACTGTTCTGCTCCACTGCGAGCCCACACTCTTCCTTTCAGTAGGTAATTTGTCGCCTCATGTACTGATGTGTGTGTGTGTGTATGTGTGTGTGTGTGTATGTCGTTGTGTGCGTCCTATCCACACAATGTGGAACGTGTTTGAATGTGTGCTACGAGCCTATTGTGGCTATGTTTATTTTTAGATAAGGATGTTGGAAGAGTGTGTGTGATGCAGCTGACTGGTCAGCGTGAGAGGATCAAGCTTTTGTTTTTATTTTGAATGTGTGTGTGTGTGCGTGTGTGTGCGTGTGTGTGTGCGTGCCAGGCAGGTGTGGAATTATGTAATGTTGTACTCCTCCGAGCTGTGGCGGGCTTTGTTCTGTATCACTGGAGGTCCTGTGCATCCAGCAGAATCAGCATTATGTGAGGTGTAGTTCATTACCCAGAATCGGCCAAGCCTGACACGTTATTATCTTTCTCCTGTGCTTTGACTCCATTTCAATTACCCTCTTACCATGCATAGCCTTCAAAGCCGGCCCCGCCCCATCCCCCTCTCGGCCACCCAACATGGCCATCTCCAGCCAATCAGAGAGAGAGAAGCAGCATGTGCAGCCAATGACTGAGACCAGATAAAGACTATCAATCACCCTGTGCTGCAGCGAGGGTTTTATCAGCCGTTCATCTGAGACTGGCTGCGTGCAGCTTGTCAGCCAACATGTGAAGGCTTATAAGCCTTGTTTAACAATTCCCAATCTCTCTGGAGTGGGACACAGTGGAACAATAGTCCCCCAAAATGTTGCGGAACACACACACACGGCAAAAAATGATTATCTAAATGTTTTCTTTTTTCTTGTCTCACTAGTGTTAGGTAGAAATTTTAGGACACCCTGCAGTGACCAAATTACTAACATGTTAATCAGTCATGTGAGCTCAGTGGCCATAAGCTTCCAGTATGTTATTCTACAACCAGCTTTACAGTGGTCCTCTCTGTCAATGCCACATTCCTGTTTCTGGTTATTTTCAGAAATATAAAGAATTTGAAAAGTCAGTCAGAGTGGAGGAAATCGATGGTGTGAAACTGGTCAAAAATCTGGCTGTGAAGATGGAGGAAATGTTCCACAGAAAAGCGGAGGCCACAAGGGTAAGTACAATTTGAAAAAGCATTTTATTCTGCATTTATTTATTTTTCATTCATTTAATTCTATTTCAGGGGGTGAGGGGCTGTATGTAAATAATTAGGGTGGTAAGGTTAGAGCCTCAGCGAAGAGGGAGGGCTGCATGTTGTGTTCTTTTTGCTTTAGGGAGGGCCTTCACGTTTTACTGATTCCCACATCAGAATGAAGCTACGAGCACTCAGTGTCTGTTTTCATATTTAATGCTGCACTGGTGGTACACCTGCGTGAAGAAAACACGTCTCCAACACGCCTGGTCATATGACTCATGTGATCAGGACTGTATCTGACAACTGATCGTATCAGGCTAACTTCATCTTTATTTTGAATCAGAGGTGCAGTGACAGAAACTGCAGCGCTAAAGCCCCTCAGCACCCACAGTAGTGACACCTGTGCCTATTTTGCTCATTCAGTGACTGTGGTAATAGTTATTAGTTTATAGTATGGTTCCGATCAATATTGTGGTATCAATATATTTGACAAAGAGGACGCAACATTTTTACAATCACTAATTCAACTTTTAATGTGAAATTTGATGGCTCTGTGAAAATGATTGTTTCTGTTAAAATATTAATGTTTAACTATTAAAGAGGCTGTTTTAATGTTTCTTAAATGAGCCAGTGAAAATATTAATAAGGACTTTTTTTTTTAAATGTTAAAAATAAAATTCAGCTCCCTTCCCCAGGTCTAATTTTCATACAGTCCCTAAATTGAGCAGGTTAATCATTTAGCAAGAGCAGAGTATTGTTCAGTGTTCAAAGATCAAATGTGTCAAATGTAAAAGGTTCGTTTAGGACATGGTCTCACGTGTAGTGCCCGAGTCCGAGCTGTAGTCAGACCCACAGCAGCAGCCAGTCTGCGACCTCAGCTTGTAACCATTTTAATGCTGCATTTCGCAGGGACTGCTGGGAAATGATAACGTTTATCTCTCCCTGCCTGATCCCATGTGGGCGACAATTCATCCCAATTCATTCTATAAATGACACTTATATTTAATAAATCTGATTGGATTCATATCAAGGTGTTTTTTTTAATTATGTGTTAACAATACAAGGGCCGAAATTTGAATGTTATAAAAATAAAAAATAAAAATCCAGTCTCATGTTTAAGCCTGGTTTAAAAATGAGGCACTGACCTGAATAATGTGGTGGAGGTGGGGTGTGTGGCCGCTGCAGGTCTTTTTCATAAAAAAAAGTAAAATTATGCACATGCCTTTACCAAGAGTGTTCTCCACCTAAACCACAAAACATTGCGTTTATTTCATACCATTTTCTTTTCTTTTTCTTTTTTTTTTATTTGCCAACTGCTGACGACATGAGAACTCACCACGAGGTCAATTGAATTTGGACAACGCAGCTCAGTTGTGTTTATAAAGGCCAGCATTTATTTTGACACATGTGACAGATGTTAATTACCTGCTTGGCTCCGAGGGTGAGAGTGACTGTAGCGTTTAGGTGGCATTTCCCTCGGAAACACAGAGCCAAGCACATTTTCGAGACTCGAGTTATTACAGAAGCGATGTCTGCTTTGGTGCTCGGCATGAAATCCTCCAACCTGCCTCCATCAATCATTTTACAGCTGCGCTCCACAGTAGTGCCCTACATTTGATGCATTTTTTTTTTTTTGCCTTTAAAAAAAACACTCTAAGAATTGCCAAGGAGGGAAAGCCTGAACCCTCTGGGCAACATATGCTTTTATCGAGTTTAAACCAAAAGCTGGACATGCTGCCGATTTCATCCAAAGATTAATCTAGAGTCTGGCTATGGTCCTCGATCAAGGTCCTCTTCAGGGGAATGACATTTGTGGAGATGCTGGAATAATAGAGCACCAGAGCAATGTGCAAACAGCAAGTTTGAGAAATACAAAGAGCAGCAGGGTGTAAAATAAAAATTAGAAAAAAAACTATTCTGGGAATGGGCTCCCAGAGGCCTTTGAGGAAGTTTGTGGAAGTCTTAAAGAACCGTGGTCTGATGGTGCAGTTTTGGCCAAAGTAGCCTAGAATTTAAGGTTTATATGCATTAAATAGAAATAGGATCGGATTTTAAGCACACGCGTGTAATAGCTCTGGTCTTATTAACCATCCTCTCTCCTCCTCTCAGCGGCTGGTGGAAGCGGCAGAAGAAGCGCACCATCAGCATGAGGATAATCCCGACCTGCAGGTGAGGTTTGTCCCGGACAAAAGAAAAGAAAAGAAAAGAAATGAAAAGAAAAGAAAAGAAAAGAGGGACACGACCTAATTATTAAAAATGTGATGTGGCATTGTGTTAGACCAGGATGAATCATTTTCAGTCGGGCAGGGGAGGAGCGGCTGCAAGGTGAGAGAAGGGTAATAGGCCTTAAAAGTCTTTAATTGCGTTGGCATCGTCCTTCCCACTGATGTCCTGTCATCGGTTTGATACATAATGCTTCTTTGATGAGCAGTGGCGCACACACTGAAGGCTGCAGCGACACACGGGCATAACTCAGACTGAATGTTTGGAAGTGTTGGGAGTCATAGCTCAAAATCAGGTCTTCGCTTTGACGTTCACATACAGTAACTGGAACTGTAGCACGAGATAAAAACATACAGGAGGAATAATCTAATGCATGATCTAATATTTAGAAAGAAAGTATAGGCAACTAGCATTTTCTGAGAGGATAATATAGTTATTATTGGCCCAGGTCTTTGCGGTCATATAAGCTGTAGGCAAAAGCAGAGAGAAGAATGGGGAAAATAGAAGTCGGCCTGCATTGCTGTAATTTTAATTATATTTCACATGATTTGCTCATGTCCCCCGAATGTGTTCAGGACATTATTTAGCGACTCCGGGTGCTGATTTCCAGGGTGCACCGTGCTCCCTCAGTCTCTGCAGAGGGAATGCAGTATTTTTGTCGTTTGTTAGTGCTCTCTCTCTCTCTCTCTCTCTCTCTCTCTCTCTCTCTCTCTCTCTCTCCCTCTCTCCCTCTCTCCCTCTCCCTCCACTGGACAAAGACAAATGAAACTCTTTTCCTCGGCGCATTGTTTCATTTTCCTGGCTCCAGATTGGAAACCCACCAGAGCAGCAAAACACTGAAATAACGGCAGCACTTTACAGTTAATAGTAGCATTTACATCATATGAATACCTTTCAGTCACCTTGTTCTCTGCCCGTTTCTCTTGTGTCCACGCGTCTACAACAAGTCAAGTCATCTTTAAACTCCTGCTTTGGGCGACTGCGTTTTTTTAAAGGAAATATTTTTGACCTTGATCCTTTGAAAATAATTCAATACCTTGGTTTTGTCCTTCTAAAACAGGTCTCTAACAAAAACACTATGTTTCAATTTATGCTTTAACTGTAGGTCTATTTATTTTCTTTGCATGATTTTATTAAATTATGCCTGGCTTTTTATTAAAGAAAAAGGTTTCCATCTTCTCCAGATAACATCACTTTATATGAGGACTCCACAAATGTATCTAAAACACAGGTGGGACATGCAGCCTAGATTTGTCATAAACAGTGTTTGTATAAATATTTTAATAATATTTCTGTAGACTTGATATAGTTTAGTTGCATTGCTTCCTTTTATATTAAGACAAATATCTCTTACAGTCAATCATTTTTTATAAATTACTTAAAAAAAATGAATTGAATTCTTACAGTAAAATTGTTGCACACTGAAAGCTGTGTTAACATTTTTATTCAAGCAGGTGACAGTTATTGCTCTACAGCACAGGCCTATCACACAGACATTTCATTTTAAAGGCTATAAAAAATAGTAAGGAAAATTCAATATCCACCTGCAGTAATGATGTGATGTCATGATATTCCTCCTTGTGGCATCATTTAACCAACCTCGCCTCCTCTGACACCACACATTTTTCATGCACCATTTCACTGACCACAAAGAGATAAGAGGGCCGCTCTTATCTCAGCTGCTTCGTGTCAGGACAGTCGCGTGTTTTGCATTGACCCGAGTTTAGTCCGCAGTTCAAGTGTGCACAGATCAGGTCTGATGGAGCAACAGAAGCTTTGCTCTTACTTCAGAAATGTATCTACAGTAATGTGTCTTTGGTTTAGTGTCTGTTAACAGACGATAAAACTTTCAACGCTCACGTGAGGCTAGAAAAACTCTCAGTTGCTCGTGAGGTAATTGTTGTAGAAATGTGAAATAAAAAAATATAGATAAGCATTTCAAATAAACAGTCTGAATTCAGTTTCTGCTTTTGTGATAGTTGCTGAAAATTGTTTGCAGCATCAGTAATAAGTTATTATTTGAACCATTACACAGTCCACAGTTCTATTTCTGAGTGACCTGCTGCCACCGTGGTACATCCTGAACATGATAGAAATGTAAATGCACCTTAACATTCTTACAAAATGATGCTGCTGAGTGAAAGTATTTTAAATAATACTAAGTAATAATAATGTAGATGCTTTTTTTTTAATGTATTTAATCAAACAAAACAAAAAAACAGCTTCCCATCTGATCCACAACATGAGGGAAGGAGTGCTGGCTTCTGAACATATTAGTTTTTATGAAGGCGTTAGTTATGACAAGTGCAGAGTCTGTTAAACCTACAGACTGAAGGGTAAAGCTTAGTGAGAGCCACCATCTCCAGACACTGGAGCCTGGTTATACAGTAAGGCCCAGCAGACTGTAATGGAGGGCAGAGCTCTGCAGCAGGGCCTCAGCTAACTGCAGTGGTGTAAGAGTCACTGGGGCGTCTCGGAGAGCTGCAGTGTCCCATGGCCTGCTCTACAGTAATAACCCTGGTGGTTAACGTGCCTCTCTACAGCACTATCAGTTCTGCTGAGGGTGCACGTTTCTCTCCCCTGCTGCTCCCCCTCCGCAGCTCTCTTGCACCCCCCACCACCACCACCACCCCTTCCGCCCCGCCGCAGCTCGTCAGAGAGCTGCTCAGGCGTGGTATGAGCTGTCAGCGGCTGCTTGATGGTGATGCCCGTGCGGCCTCCCCCGAGTGTGATGCTGTAGAGTCCATCACCCATCTCTCTCCCTCCCTCCATCTTTCCCCCCTCTCTTTCTCTTTCTCTCTCAGTGCCGACAATAAGGACCAGAGGCCACAGAGAGGCCGCTCAGACAGGATGAGGTAGTCTTCTTTCTGCTGCAGCAGGCGGTGAAGGACAGGACAGACAAACTGTTGAGTTTCACTTAAGAGAGGACAGACTTTTCACTGGCCCTCATAAGGTTCTCTTAGCACATCCAGTGACTTCCAGAGACAGCTGCTTTCGTTTATGTACGTTCTGACGAATAGGAAAAAAATCCCCAAAACACACTGACTGACATAGTTTCACATAAAATTTGCACAACGTCAGATACTTACCGTCTGTTTATCCTGAGTTGCTGCAGCTCAGGTTGCAGAGTGAGTCAGCTATTCACCTGCTCCTCATGTTCATGTGTCGAAATGTCCTTGAGCGGGATACTGAACCCCAGAGTGCTTCAAATGAATGTAATGTTATATGATATTATATTAGTGTAATTATATATTGTGAGAAGTCAATATAACCATTTATCCTATAGGACATTTTTGGGAATGTTCTGATTTTATTGCCATTTGCTTTATTTTGTTCTACTCGCTTTTTTTTTTTTTTTTTACATTTCTGTTGATTTTATTATTTCTGATCTGATGGTTTGTAATCCTCATAGGGCGCATGTAGACTCTGCACACATTACTCTGCATTTGATAAATAATTTTTGTTATGATTGCGGTGTTAAAAGGCAAAACCTGCCTGAGGAAAAGGATAGGTTCACATTTTTTTTCAAGTCTATCTTAAGATGATCGTCACATGCCTACATGTACGTTTAAAGAGGTTCCTTCTGTCCAAACTCACTATGGAGATGTTCTTTCCTCATATGAATCCAGAGGTAGGGGAGAAATCCACGGTCCTGGATTCCCTCTTTGTGTTCCTATGGCTGTGTTTGGAATTTCATACTAAAAAGACTGTAACTCTGGAAGATCCCCACTTGATTTGACTAATTCAGACTACTTAGACTTCACTTCGACTGAATTTTTTTTCTTCTTTTTCTGAGTGAGAGCGAGGACTGTGGATTTGTCCCCCATCACTTACATTGAAATCATGTAAGGAATGGATCTTACAATGGATAGTATAAACAGGAGAAATGAACACGGCAACAAAACATATCCAGTGTACACGGACATGTAAGACGGACTTAAAAAAATGTGAAGCCATCCTCAAAGTATTAATACTAATACTGTAATTACTAAATGCGTAATGTGTGCAGGTCTCAGTCCACGTGTTTTCTGTACCTGCAGTGTCTTTAACATATTCCATATTCACTCTTTACCTCAGTATGAGTACTTCAATGCTGTGCTGATCAATGAAGTGGACGAGGAGGGCAATAACGTGGAGCTGGGGGGAGAGTTCCTCCTGGAGCCCAACGATCATTTCAATAACCTGTCGGTCAACCTGAGCCTCAGTGTGGTGCAGGTCCCCACCAACATGTACAATAAAGGTAAGGGGAGCAGCCGGGAGACAGGATTATGTGAAGGTTAGTTACCTTCTCTGGGCGGATGAACGGGGAGAGAAGGAGGGAGGAAAGTAAGAGGTGGAAGTGAGAGATGGGGAGCACGCAGGAGCTTTTTTCCGTCGCTTCTTGTTGTATAACGGAGTGTGTCATCTCTCCCTGTGTATCGGCTGGGCGGCTTTTGTTCGGCTGTAATGGACTCCACATAAGTCTCTGTTCACAGCACAAAGGGAGGCTCGTCTAGCAGGAGGAGGGGAGGGGATGATTTAGTCACAGGCATTGTATCTCTTCAGGGTGGGGAGTCAATAAGGGACAAAGGTCAGCTGTGCGCCCGGTAATGGTGAGCAGGATGGCCACCATTATCACCGTTTAATTTGCTCGTCTCAATCTCTCTTTTTTTTCTCCGTGTCTTATCCCACGTCCTCCACCTCCTCAGATCCCGACATAGTGAACGGAGTGTACTGGTCCGAGGCTTTGAATAAAGTGTTTGTAGATAATTTTGAGAGAGACCCCACACTCATCTGGCAGTACTTTGGGAGTGCCAAGGGTTTCTTCAGGCAGTACCCTGGTGAGTGCTGTCATTCTGTCAGTGTGTCTTCATGTATCTGTGTTCATGTGTGTGTGTGTGTGTGCTGGTGAGTGCTGTCATTCTGTCAGTGTGTCTTCATGTATCTGTGTTCATGTGTGTGTGTGTGTGTGTGTGAGCATGTGTGTGTGAGAAAAGAAAGGGTTTTCCCATGGGAGCCATCAGCCGTCAGTGAAGGAAAAAAAAAAGAAAAAAAAAAAGAAAAAGATCAGAACAAATGATTCAGAATTACTAAAAGGGTAATTTGGCTAATGTTGTAATTTTACAGACCATCAGAGAGGATGCATATGTACAGACTGTAATTAATCAGCATTTGCCGGTGCGGACCTACAGCTGTACTGAGGAACAGTGCGTGGCTGCTGGATCCAACCAAAGTTATCAGACCGTTACAATGATGTGAAACAGCCGCTCAGCTCTCTGCAGTGCTGGAGCGAAGCCACAGAGATGAGATACAACTGATGATGATGTTGTTATATAGATACAGACTCTGTATGTTGTACAATGTACAAGTAGAAATTCATAATGGAGAGATGTCTTTCAGCGGCATACAACGACATTCTTTTACAAATGTGTTCCTCATTTTAATGTTAAAATCACACACTACTGAACTCATTTTCCTGGCAGTTAATTGGAAACAGTAAAATTTTATTGTATAATATTCTTTTATGTCAACAAATTACATATAATATACTTTAATAGACTTTAATATATAAACTATTAAAGTCTATCTCTCAACACTTCCATACTCAGCTCATTGGATCCTACTGAAAGCATCTATCTTTATAAATGGAATACTTTAACTGTCTTTTTTGTTTTTCTTTTTGTTTTGTTAAGGAAAATAATTTCCTTAAAACAGCTTTTCTTTTTTTTTTAAGCCACGTGTTAATCCACATTTGTTGCACTAGTGTGTATTTGCTGCAGCAGGATGCTGAATCTGGGATCGGGATAAACAACACTGTGTGTGTTCATCATAATGAAGGAACATGCTGCCCAGTGCAAGAGTGTGGCTCACTGATGTCTTTTTAATAGTTTTTGGACAACAGTGGAAATCCATGGCTCAGAGGAATAAGCTGTATCAGGCTTTGGATACACAGAGACAAAACCTGTTAGTAGGTAGAAATTTTAGTAATAAAAAATAGTTGGCAGAAAACAATAGAATATCAGCAAACCTACACAGTTTGGACAATCTCAATATATAGTTTATCCTGTAAAGTCCAAAATGAAATGTGTTATTTGCTATTTTTATCCCATTGGTTTAAAATTCTTGTCTTTTACATGAGACACTATGGCATGTAGTCTACTACTGATGGGCTCCACTGAGAGATAAAGGAATTACAACTTGATTTGGCTGCTTCACGCTCTCATATCAGATATCCTGTGGTACCGTGCCCCTTTTTGCCTCTGACTCTTTGATCTGCTCCCCAGGAGTGAAGTGGCATCCAGATGAACATGGTGTCATTGGCTTTGACTGCAGAAATCGGAAGTGGTAAGCCTGCTCGAATCGGAGAAAATATTCTTGCTCATCACACAGTGCCACATATATTTGTTTTCCCTTTATTCCTTCATTATTGTAACAGCCTGGGTTTGATGGTGTGTAATTGAACCTCGTATCACAGGTACATCCAGGCAGCAACATCTCCAAAGGATGTAGTTATCTTAGTGGATGTCAGTGGAAGCATGAAAGGACTGAGGCTGACCATCGCCAGACAGACTGTCTCCTCCATATTAGACACACTGGGAGATGACGACTTCTTCAACATCATTGCAGTAAGTTTTAGTTAAACCAGATTGTCACCTTTGTGTCTGAATATGTTTGTGTGTTTGTTCATTTTTATGTTTGTGCATCTCAGTCACATTCCTCTGTCATTTTAATCCATTTCTCTCTGTTAAATGTTTTCAGACATTTCTGTTGAGTGTTTCGGATAAGTGGAGCCCAGTCTTCCATGAAAAACAAAGAGGGCTTATTCAATTCTCTTTTATCTAAATGCCGTTTATATTTCCCCAGTATAATCAGGAGATTCACTATGTGGAGCCTTGTTTGAATGGCACGCTGGTCCGGGCCGACAGAAACAATAAAGACGTGAGTCTCTACTCAGACTGACACGTAATGAATGTATGTGGGTCATATCAGGTTGAATTTCTGTGAATAATGTTTAAATGTCTTTTTTTTTTTTCTTTCCTCTACTTTGACTTTTATCTGTCAGCATTTCCGTGAACATCTGGACAAGCTGTTTGCCAAAGGGATCGGGCTGCTGGGTGAAGCTCTGACCGAAGCGTTCACAATCCTGAGTGACGTAAGTTCCAGTTACAGTAAACTGTGAGTGTCAGTGTAATGGGACGGATGCTGTTCAAACATCTTCCCAGTCTATATTCCACTGAAATAATTTATCACAAAGCAGTTCAACTAACTTCTTCTTTTCTGTTTACTGATTATATGACAATGTTGTCGAGTTTACAGGAGTTTTTATTAATTCATTTATTGATTCATTTGTCATAATGTAATGAATTTGTGCATGTGCTCAGATATCACAAATAAACTTTGTTCTCATTTAATTCACGGGCTCCACAGAACATTAGGGAACTTTTCATTTTACAAGCCACATTTGTTTTCACTGACAGAGTGTCAAAGCATGTCCTGCATGTTCGCAGCTAATCATAAAAAACTAGCACACTCTAGTCAAATACATTTGAGCGCTTGGGAGGTGTGTCGCCTGTCGAAACGCTCCAGTGCTATCCTCATTCCGCCCTCCAAACACAGACACATCTATTCTGAAGCGTGATTAATGGCTCTAATTAATGTCAATGATTAATAACGTGGCTGATTGGAACACAAAGCAGATAAGGCCAGGAGCCGCGCCGCACTCCTTTTATCTCCCTGTTTTCAGGCGAGCTTTGGCTGCACCGCTGAAGCTGAGAGAGCTCAGCTTTTACCTCTGCATTTGTCAGATTAATTAAAGCCCTGCAATGAATATGGTAATCAGGTAGCCAGTAGCCTACTGCTGAAAGTCATTGTTACACCGCTGCCCACTGAATGAAGTCAGAATACAGCCTATCATAGACCAGATCAAAAAGAAACTCACTTCACTTGCAGAGCACTGCAGTGTTTTTACATGGAGTCCTGGTCAACTGAATGAGAGCAGTGCTGTGATACAACACTTTCCCACAGGAGGATGATGTGAAAGAATCACAAAACAGCAAGCTTATAATAAAATATTTTACTATATTTTGCCATCACTCAATATGTAGTACATCCTTTTGTTTGGTGATTTTAGAACAAGAACAGAGTGATCCCTGTTATTGATTCTGTCTTTTATCTGTAACATTTATTTTTCCAAATTCTCATTAACTACACAATACTAAAGCAAAGAGTATGTTATACATTTACACAAAGACTGTAGACTCTGCAGCAGAGAAGGCACGAACATCTTCAATAATGGTTTAGGAAATTTCACATCTTTGTGAAATGTAATGAGTCCATGTAAGAGTTCATTTGAACACAACTTATTAAAGTAAATGTCGCTGAAATAAACAATAATGTTTAAATTAGCAATGGGAGCAGTGCGCGGTTGTATAGGGTTTGGTCTATGGAGGTGGTGAATGGTGCAAATTGAAAAGACACAGATGAAGGGAAGTTGCCAGCCAAAGGAAGAGAGAAACAAGGATAAGCACACATGCTACCTTTTTATAGCCCAAGACCCCAGATGAATGACATGAGCTGGCAATCCTTCACTGTCAGCGAACTGTCCCCTGAGCTTGACTAGAACGGTCTACAGACCAGGGGGGCCGGTACACACTGCACTGACTTTTTCATAGGCCTCTTTACATCTTCTTCTACATTTTGATGTGTCACAGTTGGAGAAACGTGGGTGCAAATAATAATAAAAAAAGACAATAATGGCTGAATCCCATTTAGGGGCTTCAGTTTCATTTTGCTGGTATTGTGCATGCTGGCTCACTGCCATGTCTTACTGGGGCACTTGAGAGGAACAGAGTCATCATTAATGTTATTATTTCTACTTGTGTTTTTTCCTACAATGACCAGTCAAAATATCTGCTGTGAAAAAAGTCTGTAATAAGCAAAACAATTAACATTAAAGTCTTGTGGATGAAAAAAGATATATATATATATATATATACATCAATGCATTTTAACGTGTGTGTGTGTGTGTGTGTGTGTGTGTGTGTGTGAGAGAGAGAGAGAGAAAGAGAGGGCCTCCTGATACTTGTATGATTTGAGAGCAGCAGCACTCAGCAGGTTTCAGCCTGTGATCATGTCATCACACACTCCTCTCTCTCTCTCTCTCTCTCTCTCTCTCTCCTCTCTCTCTCTCTCTCTCTCTCTCCACATTCACTGTCACAGGTCAATAAACCACTTGATTACTACAATGCATCAGAATAAAGTGTAACACATTCTTCAAGTTTATTTACTAAGACATTATCTGTATTTTATGAACTGATGGCTTTCAGATGCCATATCAGACATCATCATCAGACGCAGTGGAAATAGACATTGTTGGCTGTTTGTTTAATGTTAAAATAACAGTGATTGGATTGAACAACGGCTTTGTTTTTTTTGGTTTGTTTTTTTTGTGTATGTGCATGTGCTGTCTTTCCTTCTGCAGTTTAACCAGACTGGTCGTGGCAGTGTGTGCAGTCAGGCCATAATGCTTGTGACCGACGGGGCGACTGAAATGTACGACGACGTTTTCGAGAAGCACAATTGGCCAGAAAGAAAGGTGAGTTTCTCTCTCTCTTTTATCTCTCTCTCTCCTTCTCTCTCTCTCTCCCTCTCTCTCTCTCTCTCTCTCTCTCTCCTCTCTGTTCCTCACAGTGCCTGATTTTCAATGTTACACATGTCCTGTCCCTGAATTTTCTGCTTGCACTGCACTTTCCTTGCTTCAGGGATAGATGTACATTTTAATACTATATGTCAGCTGGTGCTCTGTCTTGACGTTTTGAGGAATTGGTTTCTTACTTCGTTACCACTCTTAACTCTGCAATGTAAAATCCACGTCAATATGATGTTTTTCAATGTGTTGAGACATTACAGAGCGATATTCACCCCACAAGGAATAAAACATGGGAAATTAACCGCTTTCAAGGGCAGAGCATGTACAAACAGCTCGGTCTCAAAGGCTCTAGTCCTTATCCGTCTACTGTGCTCACTCCACACTTCTTCCTGGACCTAACATTGGATTTAAAATCTTTTGTTAGGCTCCCTTTGTAAGACCTAAAAGCAATTGAAATGAAATGGACTACTGTGCTATTCACAGAGCAATAAAAACAACCGCTCAGGGGCTTTTGTTCAGTCCGCTCAAGCATATGTGTGTTGGCAGTGTTTGGCAGGGTACTGGGCAGTATTTGGCAGGGCACCCCATCCCCACCCCACACTCCCCCCCACCCCACCCCCCTTCATACACCCTCAGGGCCGTTATATGGCAGCCATTCAGTGTTTCCTATATGCGTTATGCTTAGCAAAGCATCTGGAGCCAATGAGCCGTACAGGTTTGTGAAAGTGTCACACAGCGTTCTGTTAAAGGACAGAGGAACATGCCCTCGTGCCCAACCCCCAAACAAAAGAAAATTAATTGAATTTAACTGCATAAAGTGAAAGAAAAAAAAACAACAAACAGAAAAAAACAACAAATTGACAAAGACAGGCTGAAAAAAAAAAGTTAAAGAATGAAAGAGAAGTGGTGGAAAAGTAGCTTAACACTGTTTCCTCATAAGGATGTAAAATCATGCAGCCACTTCTTGCTCCCCACCCCAGATAGAATCAGGACGGGAAGATAAAGAGCTGAGGAGACGCATCACTTTACATGTTTTTTTACATCACATCTCTACGTCCTCTGCACAGGTGCGGATATTCCCTTACCTGATTGGACGAGAGTCTGCGTTTGCTGATAACCTCAAATGGATGGCTTGTGCCAACAAAGGTTTGAGACTTTTTTGATAAACACTCTCCAAGAAAAGCCGAGTATCAGAGTGTGGAACACGGCCTGATGCAGTGTTTCTGTGCGTTAACCTGATAGGTTGAGGATGTGTGGGTATCCCTGTGGTTTGGTCGCAAACGTGTATGTTAAGTGTGTGTGTGTGTGTGTGTGTGTATATGCATGTGTGTGTGGTGGCTCAGAAGCTTTCTGCCAAGAGGCAATGAAGTGGCACTTGGGGGGGTCAGAGGTCAATCTGCTCTAATCCCTCTTCCTGTCAGAGTGTCTCCCCCCTTGGCTGCTCCCTGCTGATGGCTCCGACGTGTCAACGCTCTGGATGAGTGCCCTCTGGAAGGGAAAGTCACAGCCAGGAAAACAGATCACAGGGGGATTGTGGGGAGACGAGCCCCAAACCTCCTTCCCCATACAGACCCCTGCTGTGAAATAACCTTACATGTCCAATATAAAGTATTGTCAGCAACAGCAGGACCTGACACCAAGTCAAATGACTCTTGTGTCGCTCTAAGCTGAACCACTGGAGACACAGTCCAGTAATGTCAGGGCCATCAGCAGTGGTAGAAAATACCTAAATATGAATATGTACGTTTACCTAAGTACTGCACCTCAGTAGAGTTTAAGGTACTTTTACTTGAGTATTTCCCCTTTATACTGTTTTATAGGGTACTTCTACTACTTCTACTATTTGACAGCTTTAGTCACAAGATTTACTTTAAGATAATTTTACACACAAAACACATGAACATATGATCAAATATGATATAGTGGCCTTCACTACCCACCAGTATGTCACTATTTAAAGCCCAAGTTTTATGCAATTATACCATCTTTCAAATCATTCTCATATACTCTTTTGATTTTTCGACAAAATGAACAAATCCTGGTGAAACTGGTGCAAACTCTTTGTTTTCTTTTCACCCATTCATTCTCAGTGCCCCTGGCTCAAATCTGTGGGTGGGAGCTCCCTCTCTCCCACACAGGGATAAAATGAGCTCCTCCTAATGACACCTTTAAAATGTAGCAAATATGTCGATGCGTCACTAATAGTAGTCAAATACAAAATATGCAGTACATACAATAACACTCTGAAAGAGGACATGATGAGGTCTTCTCTGCCATCGAGGACACTGAGGTCATGTCCTTGGTAATTTTCTGGAAATTTGGAGGGTTTAATAATTTGAGGTCGGCTTTACAATTAAAAACTTACACATGACTGACATTTTTTTAGTCTGATTCCAGTGTTTTTAGATGCAATATGTTGGGATTTGACATTAAAAAAAGTAAAGGATTTAGGATTTTACTAATTAAATCCTAATATGAAAAAATGTGGAGACCTTTTTTGGTCTGTGGTCAAAGTTTTCTAAAGGGGAGGACATTGGAGGATCGGGAATAACCTCAATGTTTCTAAAATCCTGGCTACAGTCCTGTTTGCTGGCAGTACTTTTATTTAGAAGCAGGACTTAACATTGCTGATCCGATACTTCTTCCACCACTGGACATTAATTGTAATATTTTGGTGTGTCGCTTTAAACGGTCCAAATACACGTAAGACTACATATTGTGGAAGAAGCGTTTACCCTGCCTCAGTTTGGGTTAAAATGTTTGTGTTTCATTGCAGGATATTTCAGTCAGATCTCCACCTTAGCGGACGTTCAGGAGAACGTGATGAGGTATCTTCATGTCATGAGCCGCCCAAAGGTTATCGATCACGAGCATGACACAGTGTGGACTGAAGCTTACGTGGACAGCGCTGTAAGTATAGTTTAAAGCAGTGTAATGACTTTTTGTGTGAGTGTCCGAGTTATTAGGCCCTACTCCATGTACGTACAGTGCAGTAACACGCTTTCTACAGAGTATGGACAAAACAACAGGAACCTCTTGCAGTATGATACAATCCAGTACATTGAAAACACAGGAGAGTGCGTCAGAGAGTTGTTGATTCAACAATCAGGTACTTTTCAAAGCTGTAGTTTATGCTTTTATTACCCTGCATCAAACTATATTGTAAGACGTTGGTGTTATTTTGTCCATCCCTCTACTGTACAGTTAGTGTGCACATGTGTGTGTCTGCGCTCTCATCATTAGTCTTCATGCTGCTGGAATGATTCCTCATTATGAGCTTCATTAATCTGCATGGATCTTCCCCCCCAGTGGACATCTGTGTCCACAAAGTCAATGCAGAATGTGCTTATTTCAATTCACTGGATGATTTAATTTTTTTGTCTCTTTGTGTCTCTTCTTTTATTTCAGCTTTCACAGGCTCATAAGGTAAGTATCTCTCAGGTAGAGTGAAATCAATGGAAAACAAAGCTGATTTGTTGTCTTGCTGACTAATAAGGAGCTGATCCAGACTCAGATGCCTATATGTACAGTATATATATAACCTAAATATTATTGAGGATTATCATATTTTGACAGAGCGTTTCTACTTTAACCAGCACAGCTTCTGTAACCTTTACAGCACTGAGAGAGCAGACAAGAGCTTTGTAAGTGGGGAAGGTGGGATATAAGAGGGACAGGAAGAGAAAAGGAAGTGTTGTAGCTGCTCAATTGTTGTTGAGATCACTTATTACAAAAATGGTTGAAACGTTTGTGATGTGGGGTTAAACAAAAAAGGAGAAAAAGGGAAACAAAGGTACGCTTTTTATTTAGTTTTTCTAAAATCAAGCACTTTATTTTAAGATGCACATTTTTCAAAAGCTCTCTATTATGTAGCCTACTTACTGCAGCCCTTATTTTTCTTGAAATGAGAAAACAAATCTGAACTACTTTGAAATTCAATTAAATACCCCTGTTATAGGGAGTAGTTCTGAACTATGATCAGAGCGGATATCATGGGCAGGGGTTTCCACTGGGACTCAGCAGATCTCAGCACATTGTATAAAGTAGAACTGACCTGAGTTAAATAGCTGCTTATTGTTCCTCCCTTTCAACATTATGCTTTAATATTTCCTAAGAGGTCTAAAGTGAGGAGATGCTCATCCCTCTGAGGGACAGAAGCAGTAGAGAAGCATTTATTGTACTTCTTTCCAGTATGGGGACAATAAGCATACACACACACACACACACACACACACACACACACACACACACACACACACACACACACACACACACACACACAGAAGGGTTAGGAGATTGTCCCCCGGAGTGTGTGCTGTTGTATCTCAGCCTCAGACACACCATTCATCATTCTGTGGATCATTGCATTTTATCTCCTAAAGCCCATATTAAAACTGACATTGGAAGGGAGACCAAGAAAGAGAGAGGGAGAGAGAGATGGAGGTGGTTGAGCATCCATGGATGTACCTGTTTGTGTGTGTGTGTGTGTGTGTGTGTGTGTGTGTGTGTGTGTGTGTGTGTGTGTGTGTGTGTGTGTTTTCTCTTCCATTGTGTGTTGTGATGAATTTAAGGACCCACCATTCTTCATTTTGTCAAGCTAGCAAGTACACACTGCAACACTGCAGTTCACAGCTCGTTTCCTTCGTATGCATGCACACACAGAAATGAACATCAGCCCCACACACACACACACTCACACTCACTGACGTGAACACAGGCACACTCAGCTGTGTCGACTCAAGAGGTGAGGGAATAGAAGACCTACTTTAGTGGCGCTCATGTGCTTAATTATGTCAGCCTTCATCCTCCTCAACTGACCCCGTCTCCTCCTCTGAGCCCCACATGAACCTCACATGGTTGTAGCTGTAAGTCCTCACACTGCTATTTCCCACTGAATAAATGCTGCTCATTTTTTATATATGTGAAAGTTTTAATAGATTTGTTTTGTGAATTAGACCATTTCCTGAGTGGTTATGTGCTGTACTGGTTGAGAAAACAAAATGTATTCATAAGTATTTTTGCTTAATAATTTAGTTTTGGTTTCTTTTATGATTAAAATTATTGTTTTAACATCATCAATAACATGGAGAGTAACTTAAGTACAGTTTTGCTAAACCTGAGTAATACATGTTTATGCTGCTTTATATTTGTACTTGACAACAGAACATTTCAGAGGCAAATATACTTTTTACTTCACTACATTTATTTGAAAGATGTACAGTGGTTACTAGTTATTCAGCAGATTAAAATTTCACATTAAATCATATCATCAATTTATAAAATATGATGCATCATTATACATTAAACTAATACATTAAGTAGTTTAGGCTTCACCTCAACTAGGTTGGCATTATAATGCTGCTTACATGATAATTACATGATAAGTAATAATAATCATATAATACAGTATGATATATATATATATATATACATATATTGAATAGACTTTTAATCTGTCATGTAAATTATGTACAAATACAGTCTGACCTCTGAATCAGACTTGTTTAAAATCGTTGAAATGCATGAAGTGAAGCGAAATGACAATTCACTCTGATTATTTATCAGTAACAAAGTTCTGAATCTTATTTTTTCAGCTGAAAGTCAAAACGGGCCCAAGTCTGATGACTACAGTAGCCATGCCTGTCTTCAGCACAAAGAATGAAACGGTGAGTGAGTGAGTGAGTGAGTGAGTGAGTGAGTGAGTGAGTGAGTGAGTGAGTGAGTGAGTGAGTGACTACATGAGAAACTAAATGAGTATTTGTTGTGCAGTTTTCATCTAAAGTGTGTGTGTGTGTGTGTGTGTGTGTGTTTTGAAATTTTTCATGCAGAAGAACCAGGGTATTCTGTTGGGGGTCGTAGGAACAGACATCCCTCTGCAGGAGCTGATGAAGCTCATCCCCAAACATATGGTACGATCAGCTGTTCTTTGGCTTTAAAAAAATGAATGTATAAGTATGCGTTTTGTAAAATATCTCTCACTTTGTGTCTCTAGTTAGGGATCCATGGGTATGCGTTTGCCATCACAAACAATGGCTACATCCTGACACATCCGGACCTCAGACCTTTGGTAACTCACCTTCATAACATCCCTTTTACACCTGAACAGTCTCATAGCATTCCCTGACTTTACCCTGTTTTTCCTTTTTGCTTTGTCCATGCAATTGTATGCATAACCGAAATGATGATCTGAACACCTCCCTTGACGAGGGCACGCAGAGGCAAATGTGTTATCTGGTTAGGAGGCTACATGGACTCGTATAGTCTGTAATCCCCACCTTTTCCTTTGATGTATGCATGCAGGGATAAAGGCCACTCATAGGGCTGGCTGGCCTGAGATTTCCCAGAGGTAACTTAACACTCGCTGGCAGAGACCACAGCCGCTCGCCCTGGGACCGCTGGTTCTCAGGAGCTATGGCTGTGCTAGTGGATCTGTGTGTGCCAGTGTTAGTGCTATTCCTCTCTGTGCAACTGTGTGTGTGTGTGTATGTGTGTGTGTGTGTGTGTGTGTTGGTCTGTGCTGTTTTTTTGTTTGTTTTTTTTTTGTTTTTTTTGTGGGTGTGTCTTTGTGGCTAAAACTGTGCTGTGGTTGTAGTCAGTGACTTGTTGTTTCTTGTGGAGCGGACTACATACAGTAGCAGCGTATGACATGTACAATGTACTGCGTTGATGTAGACTTGTTTGAGCGTGGATTTCCTATCAATCATATTAATTCTTTTTAATTTACCTGACAGCGTTAATTTCACAGATGAGTTGTTAAATAATTACTCAGCGAAACCTCAACAACAGGTGCTGTATGAATAAGAGCATGCAAGTCTTCATTTTAACAGGGAAACACAAAGAAGACAGATTACAGTGAAACATTTTTAAATAGATTTATTTTCTTTAATATCAAGCTCATATATTTGAAAATTATGTGTCACATGCAGTTGTGTTAAGACAGATTAGTTGACATGATTGAGCAATGGTTAAAGTTTTAGTCGAAAATAAAACCCTGTTACACAAAGGGATCATTGAAGTGTGTATATTGTGTTTTCCTCTGTGTAGTACCAGGAGGGTCAGAAGAGGAGGAAGCCCAACTACAGCAGTGTGGATCTCTCGGAGGTGGAGTGGGAGGACAAAGATGACATTGTACGTGTCAAAGACAGTAATACAGAAAAAAAATATTGTAAATACTGAAACGTTGCCATTATTTTAAGAATATATATTGTGCACAATACAAAATACTGACTGTGCTTAAATATAAATGCAACAGTTTTGTGATGCTTTGACTTGATTTCACACTTCAACTGTACAACTTACATGTTCATTACTTTATCCGATAATAGCAAGGGTTTCTATGAAATGAGAGGAAATGAACCCCTTTAAGAATTATCACAGTATCATTCCTGTCACCGATCAGTGACCCAGCCTTGACCTCTCGGCTCTACGTGACTCTTTGTGTGCTTTATCTTTCAGCTACGCAACGCGATGGTGAACAGGAGGACAGGTACTTTCTCTATGGAGGTGAAGAAGACGGTGGATAGAGGGGTGAGGCTGCAGATGAATATGTTTAGTGTCTCCCTATCAGATGAGAGGCGTTCTTTTTGTTGTCTCTGGACCAAAGGAGTAACTCTGATCTCAGCTGTTTTTTCTGTTGTTTTAGAGACGTGTCCTTAAGATGCACAATGACTATTATTACACTGACATCAAAGGAACTCCATTCAGGTACAAGAAAAGTTTTATTCCATTCTTACATAACTTTCTGTAGCGTTACGTCTCGGTTTCCAGTTAAACTGTGACTGACTCAAGTTGATTCTCTCCTCTGTCGGTGCTTCTAGTGTCGGAGTGGCTCTTTCCAGAGGCCACGGGAAGTACTTCTTCAGAGGAAATGTATCAGTTGAAGCAGGTACGTCTCTCCAACTTTGTCATTAACTCTGTTAACAAAAGCCTGAATACATTTAAGATACATGTCACTCTGACCTGTTTGTTTGGGAGGGTCTTATTGTTGCAGGCTACCCACGCTGGCATTGCTGAAGCGTTACTGACTTGTGTTTTTCAGGCCTCCGTGATCTGGAACAGCCAGATGTCGCCCTGGCAGACGAATGGTAATGCTGGGGTTATGGGAGAGGGCATTCATGCGTTATGTAGGTTATCCCTCTGTGTTCATCAGGGATGTTGAGGCCTGTGATGTAACAGTGTGGCTCTGTTTGGACCACAGGACCTACTGCAACACAGAGGAGCAGCATGAGCATCGTCACCTGACCCAGATTCAAGCCATCAAGCTCTTCATGACGGGCCGCAGACCGCACCTCAAATGTAAGAGACATCTGAGGCAGATCTAAATGAGTTGTATACACGGAGTCTGTATTATATGCGGGGCAAACTAATGATCATATGTAGTATGATAATAAGATAGTACGCGAAAAATGTGATTGTCACAAATGAGAGGGACATTTTGGATAAGAAAAAAGAAAGTCTGTATTTGTTGATCAGGTCATGGTGTTACATTCTGCAGGTGACAGAGAGCTGATCCAGGAGGTTTTATTTGATGCTGTGGTGACTGCTCCACTGGAGGCCTACTGGACGGGACTGGCCCTCAACAAGTCAGAGTAAGCACCGTAAGCTCTTAATAAAGGCTCATAAGTTTATTGTTTTTTAATAAGCCTCAGTAAATGTTTGTGAGGCATCATTATAAATGTAACTAAACAAATAATGAACAGCTGATAATAACCCATTAAGTCTGCAGTTGTAATAGTGTATAAGTTGTCATGTTAAAGCAGGATAAACACCAGCCAAAGTGATTTTTCAAAAACTGGCAAGACCAAAAAACTAATCTGTGATAAAAATGAGTATTTCATTGATTAACCATAAATAAAGCTAAATTCACATTTCAAAAGGAAACATTAAAGCTCTTTCAGTCTTATTATGTGGTCCTGTGTGGTATGTGTGTTTTTGTGTAAAATGTATGTAAGTGAAGATCTGCAGAATCCAAATCTGATGTTTATGTTGTGCTGCACATATTGTTGTATAGAATTTACTCTAAGTTGCATGTTTGTGTCATATAGGACGTCACAATGATTATTTTCATTAATGATTAATCCTTTGATTTTCATTTTTTTTAAATAATTAAGCAGATAGAAAGTCAAACATAAAGACAAGGGCCCATGTCAAATTTCTATGTCATGACTTCAAACGGCGTATTTTGAAGTACTGTATCTTTAATGTGGTCTTTTTTCAATGTTCCTCCTCAGTTGTTTTAAGAAGTTATCTAACGCAATCTCTGAGAAACAAACACTGCACAACTTCCTCTAAAAAATACCCACATAAATGATACATTTAAAAGGAAAACCTAACTTATATACAGGGTTTTTTACTTGTGTGTTCTCAGCAGTCAGTAATGTTCAGGGAACACACTCAAAAAAGACGCACAAATGTGTTAATGTGGAACTGCTCTGCATTACGCCAACAGGAACTCAGACAAAGGAGTGGAGATTGCTTTTCTGGGAACCCGCACCGGCCTGTCGAGAACCAACCTGTTTGTGCCCGTCGATCAGCTTTCCAATCAGTGAGTGCCGCTGCTGCTCAACGCTTCTCTAATCCTTACCTACGTGCACGTGGCGAGTGGCAGTGATTGTGCTTGATGAATCTAATCCTTTGCACCTCACTTCAGTTTCATTCTGTGTGCGTCCTCAGAGATTTCCTGACAGCGGAGGACAAGGAGGGTGTGTTTAATGCAGATCACTTCCCTCTGTGGTACAAGAGAGCAGCAGAGCAGGTCCCCGGCACATTTATCTACTCCATCCCCTTCAGCACAGGTACACAGAACAGAACAAAAGTGAGCGCAGCATTTAATGTGTGCACCGTGCAGCATAACACATCAGGACAGAACTCCTCAAGACATGACTTTATTTGCTTATATTTGCTTATTAAGTTCATCTCAATATACTTCTCACTTTCCAGTACAGCATTGTATAAAGTACTTTTTTGGAATTCATGTGCCGTAGTCATTCGGCATTTCAACATCTAAATCAGTCTTTCTCTATATCCCTCTGTCTGCTATGGTTTGTGGTTTTTACTGGTTTCCACTGATAGGATGTGCGGCACAGCTCGGCTCCCTCACGGCTTCTCTGCAGTTAATGTGTCCCACGTTCTGCCTACTAGCCAGGGGAAAGAGTATTCAGCTCCAGGACATTTACCACCTTTCCTCTGTTTAATGATGACTGCATCTTTTCAGGCATTGCCATCATAACCTGAAATGTCCTATCACAGCACTCATTTCAGAAATATTAGAGTCATCTGGCTGTAGAAAAAGCTCTGACTGGACTCTATTACTGTAAACTAATGGAGTGGTGCTGCCGTTTCTTTTCAGCCAGCTGATGGAGGCTGCTGAGTACAGGGCGCCATCTACTGGACAGAAAGTGTAAAGGGAAAAAATGAATTAGAGTTTATTCTCTGTTCTCTCTCTCTAGCTTTAGAAAATAAGAGTGTGGTTTTGGCCAGCACAGCAATTCAGCTCCTTGATGACAGAAAGTCTCCAATTGTTGCAGGTAACAAACTCTAAACCATTTTTCATATCATTATGAGAACTCTTAAGGGTCTTTTAAATCATTTCTTAAAACTGACTTTTATCTGAAAGCCTTTTCTTAAAATGAAACTGTTTTGTATCATCCTATTTTAATTTGTCTTGTATGCTTCTCATTCTTTTACTGTTTTATTCTGTTATAATTGTCTTATCATTTTTACTGTTTACAATTGAGCACTTTATAACTTGCTGCTATATAAATAAAGCTATTATTATTATCATCATCATGTTAATGCTCAATTCTATATATTGTGTAAGTCTCTCACGTGCTTGGTCTTGTGCTCAGCTGTAGGGATCCAGATGAAGCTTGAGTTCTTTCAGAGGAAGTTCTGGACTGCCTGCAGACAGGTAACTACGCGACAACTAGTTAGACATAGTTTCCAAAAACTGATTTTCCTGACTGGGTATGAAACTAAACTCCATGTTTTGTGCTCAGTGTACGGCTCTGGATGGGAAGTGCAGCATTAGCTGTGATAATGAGGTAAGAACAGTCACTTAACTCTGGCTTCTGATCTTTTTTTTTTTTTCTCCGGTTTTTTCGTTGTTTTTTACACAAAATCTTTTTACTCACCCTCTGACAGGACATCAACTGTTATCTCATTGACAACAATGGTTTCATTCTTGTCACAGAGGAGCAATCTCAGGTACTGTGCGTATGTATGAGTTTGCATGTTTACATCTATGAACAGAAACTGAAATCATGGAAACATTGCCCGACCTTATGCAGGTTCATGACTCTTCGTTTTGGTGTTGAACTGTGTTAATGGAAGTATTTTCTTGTTTTGAATAAAGACGGATCATGAGAGAAAACTTTGCATCATAGCAAACACCTGCCCCTGGTAAAATGATTCAGTCCAACATTAAACAAGATGGCTTCCTACAGATCCACCATGTTTAACTTGTATGCTTCTAGTTTTCTTTTTAAACTAAACATTATTGTAGAAGATGTTTCTTTTTAATATTTTATGGCATTTTTTTCAGTGAGCTTCAAATAACTAGCAAGTGCTCTTTTTGCTTTTCTGATGTGGTTTATCTCCATTTATTATAAGCAAAAAAAAATCTGTAATAATAATGATTATGTGACAGTGTTAAAGCGGTCGCTCGTATTGATGAACCTACAGAGAATTATCACCTGAATCTACAGCTCACCTGGAGCTTTATACTGAGTTTCAGCTCATTGTTTAACTGTAGGCAGCACGTGGCCGCACCAAACATAGCGAAGCATTTAGCAGATAAAGAGCTCCTCATGTCCTCAGGAGTTGGCAGAGACTACAGACAGAGCGAATATTGGACCGACATTCACCAGGTAGTCGGAGACACGACTAAATAAATGATAATGTTGCTCTGTAACTACTGTTGTTGCACGTTTGATAATCTTTTAATCAGGTGTTTACTTTATTTTCTACACCCCAGTCTACAGTATTTTTTGAAGTGTGTGCCTGTGTGCTTTGGCATAATATATCTCTCAGACAGGGCTCTTCTTTGGAGAAGTGGAGGGGGCTGTTATGAACAAACTTCTCCAAATGGGATCCTTCAAAAGGTCTGAGTCACAGTTTAACACTTCCTAAAACCACTTGTCCAGTAAACCTGACCTTAAAAACATGTTGTTATTTTCTTCTGACAGTAACTGCTGCCTGTTTGTGTTGCAGGATCACGCTGTATGACTACCAGGCCCTTTGCAAAGAGTACGCTGGGAGCAGCGACAGTGCACGCACTTTATCAGATGTAAGTGCACAAGACAGAATATCAGCTGATATATAAGAGATAAAGACATTAGAAGCAGTAATTTTATCATATGTGATACAGCGCATCTACATTTGAATAGCCAGAGTTAAGATCATTACCCTAGACCACGGTACCTACCTCAGAGTGACTGAAAGATCAGTACAGAGATGTGTAAAATTGCAAACAGACTCTAATATGAAATGCTTTTCTCTGTCTCTCTTTCTTAGCCTTTCACTGTGGTCAAGTGGCTCCTGACTGAACTTGTCATGTAAGAATTTTTAAAGATTATATATTTGTTTAGTACGGGTACGTAAATGACATAGTGTGACATACACAATATTTATACTACTTACTAGCTACATGTTTATAGGAATAAAATAAGTTAAAAGTTGAATGGCATGGACGTAAATGGACGATTGTTACATTTATTTCTTATCAACTATGTAACAATACAAGTTCATAACTTAAAATGCCAGCCAAGAACAAGATGCATTGGTTAATGGTTAGTTAATATGTTCTTAAATGGTAATAAATATTAATGAATGTCTTCATTACCTATTTATACCCTTTTATATAAACATTAGTTAACTTTTAACTGATGCTTAAATTGCGTTAACTAATATGAATTAATATATTCTCATTATTGTCACCAACAACATTGGTTTAAATGTGATATTTGTGTTTTTCTCTTTAGTTTTCTGCTAGAATTTAACCTGTACAGCTGGTGGAATGTCGACCTTTCAGTTAAAGGTAACTGTAGGTGATGATCGTTATGGGCTCGTATGTGTGAAAAAGAGAGGTGAATGTGTGAGAGCTGGAAATATTCTCTCGATCTGTGGTTTTGTCAAGATGCTGTGGTTCAGTAAAACTTTTTCTGTCACACGTTCAGCTCAGAGGTCACGTGGTAAAACCATGATGGTTCCATGTGACACAGAATATCCTGCTTTTGTCTCTGAACGCACCATCAAAGAAACAACAGGCAACATTGACTGTGAGGGCTGCATCAGGTACTGCTTTAGGCCTCCTTAAATTAATTACTCAATGAATTATCGTCAATATCAATCATTAATTCCCTTGCTCACAATATCTGTCCATATTAAACATTATAATTCTAGTCTGCCACTATTCATTTTGTAATATTCTGAGGCCGGTCACTGTCTGTGTTCTGGCTGCAGATCATTCGTCATACAGCAGATCCCCAGCAGCAACCTCTTCATGGTTGTTGTGGACAACAAGTGTGACTGCAGCAGTGCTCCTCCAGTAACTATGGATCCCATCGAGATCATGTATATCCTTTCTAAATGAAACACTGATTTTTGATATGTGGAAACCTGTCCTGACAGCATTTACATTTGAGTACATGGCTAGTTTAATGATAAGAATACATAAGTTACTGGTTGTGAGAATCATTGTATTGCTTAGGGTCAATTTTTGAGTTGCACCACTCAAGCTCTGTTTCACATCAGGCTAAATGAGTCATGATGTAGATTAGTGAAGCTTTAAACCTCGGAACATGTTTAGTTCATTTATTTTTACCCTTGACGCCTTTGAACACAATGAGTCACTAAAATGTGACAGACTGAAGTTTCAGAAGGACAGAAAGAAACCTGAATCATGTCATCCTTTCCACCCTGAGGTATGAGATCATCTTTGCCTGCATACTGTACCTGTGTGTGTCTCTAAATATATAGTTATGCACTTACAAATGCTGCAGATTGATCTCACATAAATTCATGAAGCAATGTTGACCACATAAGTGAACTCTCACTCGCACCGAGATACAATACATCATTGATTCACAGTTCTGGTTTATTACAACTTATTTTCATAGTTTTGTCCATCATTATTATTGGTAATAACATGACTGTACTTACCAGGTTCATTTCTCAGCTCTGGAAACACAGCGATATTGCTAAAAAGACGTCCAACAAGGCAAGAAAAACAAGTTCCCAGCAGGCACACAGCTGGCCAATAACATCGTTAGACGTTGATATTTGGTTGAATGTAGGTTGTGACGTCCTGCGACCAAAATGCAATGTCAGCACAACATCTACCGCCAATGTCAATTTGACGTAGAATACTGATGACAGCTGATGTTGATGTTCGTTGGTTTTAAGTTGTGTTGTTAGGTAACCAAAATCCGATGTCTTTCAAGTATCTCATGCCAACGCCATGTTGAAATAGAATACCAACATGATGTGAAGTATGGTGACCAAAACCCAGCTTCTACTAAATGGCACAATGTCAGTTAGCCAAGGTTGGGTTTTGATGTCAACCCACTTTTCATTTCCAACTAAAATTTAACATCTGTCCAACGTTAGAGTCGTTAGTGTCCAACGCGTTTCTGATGTTAAATTGACGTCTGCTGTATGCTGGGTAGTCAGACAGTTACACTGGTTTTGAATGAACCCCTAGGTTAGCCAAACTTATTCATAACAGGAATTCTTTTCAATGGCTCTTTGGTACAAACAAAGGGAATCAAGATGTACTTGAGAGCCAGTCTTTTTTATCATTGTGCCCAGATTTCACTGTTTGGCCTAAATCCACTCCCATTTATGTGAATACTGAGATCCAGCCAGTCACCAAAGGTAGAACGGTGTCTTGGTAAACTCCAAGACACAGCAGCTTTTAGATGCACTTCAACAATAAATGCAACAATAAAGCAGAGTGCAATATTTGTAAAAGCAGGGTCAACAAACAATCTTCACTGCCTCTTAAACAGCAATGGTGAGACTTCATCAGTGAGTCGGTCAGTCAGGCACAGACATTTGCGTTTCAGGGCTGGCCTCCAGCCAAAAAGAAAAAAGACCGAATCACATCTATTACTGTCTTTCACAGATAAAACCCTGTTAATGTTTAGTATCATAGCCATGAACCGCTCCACATGTATCATAAACGATTGTGTCTTCTGCAGGAAAATGCCATGGAGTGTGGTTCAGCTACACGCCTCTCCAGTCCTCTAACAACAACTCTGCTCCCTCTGATAGCAGCGACCGTCAGCAGGTGACCATTAACAGCAGGACTGGACATCAGAAAGGACTAACTCAATGAGAAGATGCTTATAAACACATAGAGAACAAGGCCAATCAGAATTGAATTTGCTCATACCTCTGCATCAGGCAACACTCTTCTAAGAAAAAGAAATCTTTATCTGTAGCACAGAGACTCGCATCCATTAATGCAGAAAACATAAATGATGGGGTGCAGTAAAAGAAAATGCGATTAATGGGAGTGCTTGGTGAGTTTGCTCAGAGCGTTGCAGTTCACGTCACTGACAGTTTGTCATATTGACTTGAATTTGTACTGAAATTAAAAAAGAGAAAGTAACGTGTCTACAGTCAAAACAAATGCCTATGCATACAGATGATGGTAAGACATTAAATATGTTTGTTTCTTTGTTGTGAGGGAAAAAATGAAAGTTAATGTAAAAGTCTGCAGAATGTAAAATGCACTTTTGTCATATGTGAAAAGAATGCAGAGTGGTCTATATTTTTGGCATTAAATTGCTAAAAAGCATTGAAAGGGCCATTATACTTTTCTTCTTCAAATACATTAAGTTTATTTTGTAACTAAGTTCCTTTAGATGTTGATAATAATATGGATCATGTAAAATATCACAGACAACAGAAAATGTGAAGGTTGTTCTGTCAGAAGACACAGATAAGCTAATGATGCATGATGAAGATTCAACGGTGAGTTTTAAGAATGTTACATTCATACATCCAGCCACAATTTGTCAAGGTGACCACATACTCTTTACCACATGTCTGAGAAAGCTGATGAATAAATACAAAGAAATATTTTCCTTCATTAACACCTTGTGTTATTTTCTCGGGTGTAGGTGTGCACTTGTGTTACTCATGTTGTGGGGATATATGTCACATTGTGGGGACCCACCTTCCTTTGGGGAAGAAAAAGCAAGTCGCCATTACATACATCATTAAAAATGTAGTTTAAGGTTGAAGTTAGGGCCAGGATCAGGCAAATAGTGATTATAGTTAGGGTGAGGTTAAGTCTCCAGGAAATGAATGTTGATGTAATGTCCACTGATGTGATGGAAACATGTTTGTGTGTGTGTGTGCACGTGTGTTTGTGTAGTTGTGTAGTATCTGAGAGACTAACTATTATAAAAAATACATAGATTCAGAATATAAAACATAATACAAGGCAATTCAAAGTATGGTATTATGAGGAAACTGGGTGAAAACTGTGAAAACATATAATGTATGTACCAGAAGCAGCTAGTTGTAAAGGCATATGTTTATTTTGACATAGTCATACATTTTTTACATGCTGTGCTTGTTACAGATAAATTGCTGTAAAACTTTGGTTTACTCCTACAGATTGCTAGATGTGAGAAAAAGACATTATAGGAGTCTAACATTACACTATTGTGGCCTACTGTCTTACGCTGGTCAACTCTAAACAAAAGTTTTACACTTCCAACAGTTCTTTAGGCTTCATCTTTTTTTGTGCAGGAAAAGATGTCTGTGTGTCAGTGTGCCGTCACGGTGCTGTACGCCATGCCTCCCAGGACCAATGTAGCTGGCTCCTCAGAGACGGTGGAGGGAAAGTAATATGTTTCAGACTGGAAAAAGACAGAAACCAACTGTGTCATCTATTAATATTTGTGGCAAATAGACTTAATGTTGTTCCTCATGTCTCACTTACATTCAGATTTTGAGACTGTTGACTTTTAACTTCCTCAGAACCTGCTAGTGAGAATGACACACAGTAAGATGATTGTTTCCCATGATGTTTGGCACATACACTGTATATATCATCACCATCTTTTCTCATACAGCAACTCACATGTGAAATAGAGTGTGAGACCCAAGCAAATAGAGTCATTTTTGTGTCGGTGCCTCCCACATGCATGATCTACTTTGAACTTGAGATGCAAGTGTCACGTCTTCACTATGCGTGCTATTACTTTGCAGCTGTGGTTATTTTAGTATCTGTGACTCTATGTGAACTCTGTTCAACTGAAGAAAAAGTGAAACTGCAACAAATATTTCCTGCAAACTGCAAATGGCTTTTAAGACCAATGCCAGATTGTATGTACAGGACAACTGTGTGGCTCATTTTAACCCAGTGAAGCACGGTGTTAGTTCAGGCCGAGCACTAAAATGTTATCTGTTTAATTAATGCTTCACCATCAGTGGCTCCTTC